CAACAGGAACCCAAATCTAGTAATAGCAAATAATATTACTGTCCTAAGGTATTACATGATGTGTATATCACCACAGAATAAGTTTTTGTGGTTCATTTTTAGACTCCTGGAAGTAAGATTTATGTTTAAAAAGGTAGGAAGAGGAAGGATACTATTGATGATTATAATCATGTGTCTTGTGCTTGCAGGTTAAACTTTTCTGTGCTACGCAACAAAGACTTGCTGAAGAACCTATATCTCTGGCATAGGTACGATGACATGAGACTGGTTCCACAAAAGACTGAAATCTGGAAATAATTTTCAGAATTTGTGGGTTGATTTTGTTGCACCTGTGGATTTAAGCTCTCAGTTTGAAATTATTATCATTAGATTCTTTTATAGTGTAGGTGGTTTGGGGGGTACTGTTGTGTTTTGAGGGGTTTTTAATATGAGAAGAACAATCAGTGATCCTTCTATCTAGGAAAAATGAGCTTCTAATAGTGAAATATCAGGAAGATGATAATGTGTTATACTAAGCAACTGATTCACCCTTCTTCATGTGGGCCAATTAATTGTAGTTAAAGATTGCCACTTCAGCACAGAGGTCAAAGACTAGGGCTTGTACAACCATTTTTTAAAGAAATTCTGAAGAGACAGAAGAATGGGCTTTCTGCTCCCTCCATCATTTTATTCTGCCTCTACATTGTTAGTGTTGCTAAAATGCATAATTTGCATGCACACAAGGAGCTTAATTTTGATCTCACAGACTTGTTATTCCAACCTGGAGCATAAAAGCTGCTTTATGTAACCAAAGATTGATTTGAGTCCTGAGGGCCAGTCCTTCAAGTCTTTCTTCGTGTGTGTTTAGATTCAGTTGACACGTTCACAAGCAGGAGGATAGGACAGACCAGGTGTCGTGGTTTAAACCCAGTCAGGTAACTTGTTCACTCACTCCCAGTGAGTGGTGCCGAGCTGACAACAAGTCCGTCTCCCCCCCCCCCCCCCCCCCCCCGCACCGGGGCTCTCCCCTTCCCCGCTCCCGGAGGAATGGGGAGGAGGATCGAGAGAGTACAACTCCTACGGGTTGAGACAAGAACAGTCCAGCAACAAATCACCACCGCTACTATCAGCTAAAACAATGATAAGGGAAAATGACAAGGGAAGAGAATACGATACCACCGGCCAAGAAAGCGAGTTCCACCCGGAAGCCCCTGTCCTTCCGGGTAACTCCCAGTTACCCCCCACCCCGGGCATGACGTGCTGTGGTATGGAATACCTCCCTGGCTAGCCCGGGTCAGGCGCCCCATCTCTGTTTCCTCACGGCTTCCCCTCCTCCCTGGCAGAGCATGAGCCTCACAGAGTCCTTGGTCAGGGTAAACATCACTTAGCAACAACTGAAAACATCGGCTTCACCAACACTGTTCTCAAGCTAGAAGTCAAAACACAGCACTGCACCAGTTAACACAAAGGAAAAACATGACTGCTACTGCTGAACCCAGGACACCAGGTCACAAGGAATTTGCTGCACCATTGCTAGAAAAGTGGCAAGTATTCTGCTTGGGTTCAGCCCTTACCTGCAGTGATAAGGACTAACTTTACCTACAGGGAAACTATTGCTGTGGCATGGCTCACACCATCCTGGCCTTGTCATTACTTATTGTTGTGTCAACATTATTTGCTATATAGGCAGAGAAACAGAGATCTTCCAAACACACCTTAGGTCTGGGAATTAGAGGCAGTAGGAAAGCAATAATGCTGACAGTCATTCATGCTCCTGGTGAAGAACATGTGGATGGGAGGAGTAGCACAAGCAGGTGTGAGACCTGGGTAAGGGAAAGACATGGGTAAGTTCTGATGCTGATGGGAGGAAAGAGAATGGGTATCTGCGAGTACTCCCAAGTACTCCCAAGTACTCCCTGGCATGCCCCAAAATGTAGTCTGTAGGATGAATTCAACAGTGCCAAATAGGAGGGATGCTTCCTGAATGACCTTGGGTGTTCCAAAATTTAGAGTTTGTTTTGGTAAACCCTTCGTTTGTAGTATGCTCATTTTATGCTGGGGCTCTGGTACTTGTACTCTGGTATACATATGTACTTGTACTCTGATATACATATGTACTTGTTCACTTGCTATACATTTTCTTACTCTGAGGTTGTCTTTACCACTTAGCTTTTCACGAGAAGTAATTTGGTGCCAAAGTATAGAAGAAACAAAATACACTAAATGCCAGACAACCATCAGATAGGCAGGTGCAGTACTTTCTCTGGAAATAACAAAACTCCATAATGACACATGAATAAATGTAAGATATAGTTCAATTTAAATTAATGGACAGCTAAAATAAATAAGGCTGCCAAGTTCTTATTTTCCAAAGGGTTAACACTGAGGAAAAAAGGGAAAGAGTAACTGAAAGTAATTAAACAACTAAGCTGAAGACATAAAAAGGCTGGCATGCTGCATTTGGGGAGGGGAATGCTGAAAGGGATGTAATCAAGGATTTCAAAGTCATGAGGTGGTGGATAAGCTGAATGCAGAGCCCATCCACCCGTACCTGCAGTCTGGGTCAAGGGGACATTCAGTGAAACTTACAGAGTATCAGTATGAAAGAGATGAAAGACAGTGAGCTCATCTTTGTGCCAGGCAGTGGCACTCATCAAACCTGCTACACAGGAGGTTGTGGACACAGAGGTATCAGCAGGGTCAGAGAGGGGTTAGAAGAATTTATAGACTACAGACAGATCCATGAGTGAATACAAAAATGTTGAGGCAAGGATGTACCTTCTAATATCCCTAGCAGAATAAATCTGGAAGAAGAGAAGCAGGGAGCAAACTGCAGAAGATGGCAGGCTTCAGTGCTCACCCTAAGTAGCATCTTCAACCTGCACTGCTGGAGACACAGCCTCTGGTGAGATGAATTGTAGCTCAGACCTATTCTTTATGTACTCAAAAATTAGCTCAAAAGGTATAAGAACACTTGTCTGCGGTGGTGATTTGATCCCACTACAGAGGAAGTGGTAACTGCCAAAGTCAGTCTGAGTCAGAGCTAGTAATACAAAGGAAAAGAAACTATTCTTGTTATTCGTGGAAAATAAAGAAACAAAATAAATGTTAAAAAAGCAGCAGCTGAGATTTAAGATTGCTATATCAGCCACAAATCTGGTAGGGCATATGAAGCCCTGAATAAAGGACAGAATTCCTGGAAGATGCAGTACTACCATGTGAAGGACTGTAAAACCTAAGTACAACTCTCCTTTATGTTAGCTAAAAAAAAAGTGGGAAAAAAAAAAGTAACTTAAATGGGTATACCAGGGAATGGAGAGTCTAAATTAGGAAGTGAAACTAAAAAAGTATGTGCTTGTCAGCTCAACCAAAGAAAGCCTGGGAGGAGAGATAATTTGTTCTCTATAAACGTATTAGTGAGGTAAATGTCAGAGGAGGAAGATGAGGTAATTAAACTAAAGGAAAATGTTGTCACTAGGACTAATGAACAGGACTAATGAGCAGAGAAATGTCCTCAGGCGGTACTGGAAGAATTTGATTCTGGAAGAGCTTTCTGTTTGGAGTAGGAGTAGGAAAACATGTAGTTTCAAGCTGCTCCTCAATCAGCCTGTGAAAGGAATAATACAAGGTGGAGATCTGCAACAGCAAAAAAACAGTCCTGATGACTCAAGAGACTCTGTTCTTTGCTCTCAGTGTCCTTTAGTTGTTGGATGCTGACATCAAATAAGTGCCAAGTCCTATGGGGATTCCCATGTCATGGACCTTGAGGAAGAGGAGGAGCAGCTGCCTGTTATTTTACACAGCTGCACTATCAGGTCAGCAGTACTTCATGATCGGCAGTGTCAAAGGCAACTGACTAATCAAGCATGAGGCTTTGAATGGCTTTACCCACTGCATCCTAAAATGGGTCTCATTACCAGGAGACTACAGCACGTGGTATGGATGGGGGATGTCAAAGGCACTGGACATCACATGGTGTGCCTTTTCAAACCTGAAGTCATAAGTATGTGTATTGAAAACATGTATAGTATTTTCCTCTGGCCATTTCACTGTTGTCTTTTCAATGAATTTGGGGGGTTCTCCACTGAAAGCCTACTTTCTATTCAGTGTTTCTGCTTTTCATCTACTCTCTTTTGCCTGAACAGTTCTCACCCCCCTTTTTTATCCCTACTGCTTCTGCATCCAGAGGTAAGCAGAGATGCAGTAAAGCAACCTCATACTACATCCAGCTTTGGTCACAATCTTCCTAACCTTTCATATTTACATGTTAAAAAACAGGGAAAGAAACAAATGGAGAGGCTGCTGAGAAAGTTCTTTAAGCACGCACTGCTAAAAAAGAAAGCACAATATATTGAATATTGGCTATATTTTTAAATTATGGTAATTAAAACTTCACTGCTGTCTCCTGTGTTACATGGAATATTGAATAATACCACCAGAGTTTCAAGCTTTTGCTTGAAAGCTGATTGTTATTTTCAACACCCTCAAAGCAGTAGTTTAACATTGTCTCTTCCTTCTTTTCCCCCATGAAGTTTTCATATTTCCAAGTCACTGAACACAGTCCCATGATTACTACTGTTTAAATATATCTTAATGTAGAGCATTTAAAATCTACAGGACCATAATTAACTTAACTCACATAATAGTGCTTTGAACACAGGAGTGCGAGGGAATAACGCAAAAGCCTCACATTTATATCTAATTAACTAATTTTAGGAATCTAAGAAATCTGTTCAATATTATAGCCAAAGGCCTGGAAAGACATGTTTTCACTGCTGACATGTCAGTCTTTGCAGTATTCCCATGACCTGTACTGTTGCAGTCCCAAGGATGACATCTGTACAAGTCTGCCTAGGGTGTCACTTGAATCAGAAGATGTGCAGAAGATATTCCAGCTGACTGTTAGTCATTCCTCTGCACTCCTATCTGCTCCAGTCCTCCCAGGCAGGAAATTAACAGCCTAAAGAATGATGTAATGATGTATCTGTCTATGATGCAACCTGTCAAAATGGATGGAGGGCTGCATGTTTGCATCTGGTGCCATACATGGTTTCTATTCAGGCTGAATGTCTGTGGTCAGAAATGAAGCAGATACTGATATGTAAGTGTTACAAGTCCCTTCAACCCCTAATAAAAAATGGTGTTAGCAAAAGTGTTATTAGATGTATGAATCTAAAAAAGGAAAAACCTGTTACAGTCAGCAAGTAAAGCAGATACTGGAAAATTACCAACAGGGTAGAAAGCCTATTTCTTTTGTTTGACTTCATAGAGGAACAGATCTGTGATGCAGTTGTTTTCAGCTCTCCGTCAAATTGCAAACCTGAAGTTGTCATACCTAACGATAAAGAGAATAACAGCCTTTTAAACTCTACTCAAAGTGTCAGGGCCTCACCCCCCATAGCCACTCCACCATTAAATCAACAGTAAAGGGTCACTGATTCCCAGAGTAATAGGAATTTGTTCTTATTTGAATGTGACATTAACATGGATATACTGTTCTCAGGAGAACTGACTGCTATGGGCCAGATCTGGACATTGATTTCACACCGCATTCCCTATTGATCAGGCATGGTAGGAAGTCTGTACATTGAATTGATAGCAGAATATAGCTGTACAGTATTTGTTTTCCTTTTAATATACAGCTTCAACAGCAAGCCATGCATGAATTTAATAAAAGAAGATAATAATCTATTCATTCTAGGAGTTATAGACTGAGCCTGGGTGGTTATCAGGCCTGCCTTCACTGCTATAAATCATGTCAACAAGGAGACTCATTTTAGCTTTACCAATGAAAAGAATTCTCCTGTTTTAAATATACAGAACCTGTGCTTTCTCCTCACTCACAATCAGTAAATGGGGAAATGTATTCATTTATGGTTTACCAATGCAAAACAATCAACAGAAGAGAATCAGACCTATTGTCCTGTTAGAAACCAAGTATCTGAAAGCAACAAAGTAGCTCTAAACAGTAAATTAAAGTATTTGTAGTATCAGTTGCAATGATCCTTAGTTGTTCAGTATGCTCTTTCAGCTGTTGATTCCTATTTAGGATTGGAGGTTTTGTTAAGGTCATTTTACAAAACAATAAACAGAGATGCTTTGAATATGCTAATGTGTTCTGTTGCAGGAGAGTTATCACGGGTAATAGAGAAAATGAGCTGATGTAAAAGCCATCGACAACCTTAGGGGAAACTGAATGGGTGGTACAATTGTTAGCAGAATGCTGTGTCTGCAGGTCAATCTGTGAATAGATGATTGTTAGCAACAATTTTATGTTGGTCAATGTTTGTAAATGACGGAAGTTAGGCAAGAGTAATTACACCCATAATGCTTTTCAAGAGGAAAAGATCTGTACTTTTAAAACACGCTTGAAAGTTACTTTCTAGATGCAGAAGTGGATTACATTCAGCTCTTATTCTTTAGTCAGGGAGCATCAATAAAGCCACCAAGGGGATTCTGGGTGCAGACTAGCATAAATAAGCTAAAAAGCTGAGCTGGCACATGTGAAGAATGTTGTCCAGCATACAGCATTCTCATTTCATGGCACAACAGGATAGCATGGCTGTTCCTACTAGCATAATTAAACATTAGAGTATTGGTAAATTATGTTATCTCTTCTTTCTCCTTTACCAGCTCATGTGGAAATAATTTAAGTTTTGCTCTCTACCTTACCTGGTCTATCAAATTCAATGTGGTTTTTGTGTAATGAGCCTCTCAGAACAGTGCAGAATGATATCAGATGGTTGCTAAAAGATCTGTAGAGCCTAAAGGCTGCTTGCTCTTATCCCAGGGCATGGCACTCAAGAAAGTCTGCAGTAACAAATGTAGCATTTATCTAAAGCAATAGATGAGCAATGCAAAGAAAAAAAAAGTCTAACTTTCTCTTAATAATGGTTTTCTAGTAATCCTTCGCACTTATTTTAGTGATTTCAACCCAAGTAATAGAAATAAGAGAAGGAAACTCAAACTCATAGATTTATTTCCCCATGTTTAGTTGATGGGAAAAAAAAGACTGCTATTGGTTACATGAAATTCATTCCCCCAGTCAGCAAAAAGCATAGAAAATAGTAACAGCCTAAAAAGAAGCAATGGCAAGTGAACAGAAAAGAAGCAGGATGGCACAGTACAGAAACTGGGGCAAACTTGCCAATTTCAGCACTATTCATCCTTAGCTGGGGTAATTCCAGAAATAGCTGAGACACTGGGAAAGGTGAGGTGGGGCTCTGGGGTTTGCCCTGTGCATAATGAAGCATTTAGATCTTTTGTGAAGACATCTTCGGAAAGCATGCAATTAAAGGAAACAGTGAAGGCAGCCCATGAAAGTCTTGCCATGGAGTCAGTGGTGGCTGGGTAGGGTAGAGAACATATTGGCAGCATCATGGGTGATGTGAGCACAATTCAGAGCATCAGGGATGGCAAGGGAAAATTCTCTAAGTGAAACACAAAACAGAGAATAACTTGGAAATAAAACAAAACAAAGAAAACCAAACAACAACAACTAAAAAGCATCAGTTTGTTTTCATTATACAGAATATAAAAACAGTTTCTGTACCAATATAAATAGTTCATTGAGATCAATATGTGGCAGCAGCATCTCCTGTTATTAGTGTTAGACACAACCAAAAGACAGTTGTAAACCTGTTGTGTAGTAACCTGCATAAAAGTTTTCATTTGCACAGCTCGATGTACTTTTTCTTCGAAGACTCACAGTGTTTGAGGCCAGAAGGGAACCTTACGTGGCTTGACCATCCCTGCCATTAAAATCTATCCATTTACTAAAACAAACACCTAGTAATTGCCTCAGAAATAACTTACACTCAGCTAAAACAAAGTTTCTCAAAAGATTTTTTACCTTGTGCTGAAAGTCTGCGGAAACGGAGAATCTGTCTATCCCAGGAGCATATTTCAACATTCAATCATAGTGATAATTAAAAAAATTACATTTAGTCTAACTTTATCTGGCTTCAGTTTCCAGCAATTGATTCCTCTCAGGCTTTTTTTAAATTGGTTAAAGATTTCTTTAGAACATTCATATTCTCCTTCTGAAGCTACTTATACACCACACACCACAATGAAGTCATCTTTATACTATTCTGATAAGATTCAGCTCTTGAAGATCTATTAATATAAGTAAGGCTAACTGGAAATAAGACCTGTGCTTTGTTAGGTCTTCAGAATTCAGGGATTTTTTTTTTTTCCTACTATAAAATGAAATAGAATTTCTGTAACCCACAACTCTAAAAGCAATATTTTTTCCTATTTACTTCCAACTTATGGATGAACTGTTTGATAGCATTAAATGTAGATAAATGTAGCATGTGTATAGACCTAAAAGCTATTTATCTTGCCTTCCCTTTGATGACTGTCAGAGAAGATGAGCTTCCCGTGCACTAAATTAACACTATTTTTTATCTATGACTAAAACCCCATAACATTTGCCAAAGACATTGTGGTACAATGCGATAATGCAATGGTGACAAGAATTTAATAGTAATCCTCCTATCCATCTGGCATTCTGCAACACAAGTTGGTCCAAATATCTCCCTTACTAGTCCTCCTCTTTTCCCATTTAGCATCCTAATCTGTGCCATCTTTTCTTTGCCTATGTTTTCCTATGGAATAGTTGTACATTTTTTATAGTTAGGGACTAGTTATAGGGGAGCAAAGCTCCAAAACCCTGGAATTTAGGTATGTGTCTTGTATTATCATCACTGGGGATGTAATGAGATGATTGACATATCCCGTATTTCCAGTCTTTAGTGGTTATTTTTTTTTCCCAAGAGTATGATTTTTCCTCAAAAACACCTCTATTGTTATCTAAAAGGAAATAGGAGTGTAGAATATTTGTTTGTTTTAGCAACTCATGAACTCACAAAATAGTTTAAAAAAAAATATTACCAATATATTTTCTGAATTTTCAAAATGCTCTGAAATTCCTTTGCCACTCAAAATCTAACAAGAAAGCATAAACCCAAACCAAACAAAAATCAAACAACCAAAACCCTGTTCTGAACGTGGAAATAGACCAAGAACCAAATTCTTTTTCTCACAGTTTTCAACAACTGCAAACTCTGACTCATTTTTGTCAAATTGAAGTATCAAAACATTAGGATTACTAAATCTCAAATTACTTCATCATTGACCTTTAAATTACAGTGTAGCATGGGAGATAATACTACAAAACATGAACTGATAAATATCAAAATGTCTTTTTAAAGAAAGAGACTTTTTTGCTGTTGATAATTACAGTGACTTATGATGCGATCTAAGAAAAAAAAAAGTTAGTGCCTAAAAGATTTTCCTACTCACCTGGCAAAATACTCCTGAATAATAAAAAAAATCACAACTTTTTCATTTCTGTAACACTTCGGGGGGTGAGGGGAGGCAAAGAGAAAATTTAAGTATATCAATAGCTATATTTTATATCTAGTGAAAACCACTAGGTTTAGTCAAAACCCAACCAGATTTAGGCAGAAGAAAAGCTCTTAATTTTAGATACAGAACCAAACCTAAATTTGTCGAGGATTTTCTTCTCTAGAAGTTGGTTCCAAACCATCATTCTTAAAACTAAAACAAAGTAATCATATCTAAGCCACATATGCAAAATCATGAAAAAAAAAACAAACAGAAAACCCAAGACTTTTCACTGCAACACATGGCCACAGGAATTAGCACTACTAGAAACCACAGTAGCCAGTGATGTCAAGGATATAGACAGAAAAAAGGTTTCTAGAAAGTACATACACAAAATTGTCCAAAGGCAGGAAACATGCAAAACCACTGGACTAGGTCTGTGAAATGCTGAGAGTCAGAAGCTGTTTTCAGGGAGATGATGCAGAATGAGCTGTGGGCTGTTGGGTATTTAGATTCTCCTTGCACTACAAAGTAGGATGGAGTTTTATGAGTCATGAAAAACCACAGGAACTGCATAACTGAAGCTTGAACACTACTTTTTACTACTAGCTTTTTTACATCCACTGCTACCTGGTTAAACTAGGAGATACAGTTCTAGATCCAGGCTGTTGTTGACTTCAGATGGTGCATTGGTGCACAGCCTAATCCGAAAAATCAGACTTTTGGTAGTTCTTAGAAGCCTTAAAAAGCACACTGATATATAATGCCTACCATATTCAGTAGTAGTTTGGCACCTGGCTGCTTCTGAATGTCATCCTTGGCATTTATCTGTATCTTTATATTACTAAATGTATTTTAAAAACCTGATCCAGTAAAAAGGGGGATTAAATGATACCTCAAAATGACTGTTCAGAGTAATTTATAATCCTGGCATACTTTTGCTACGTATAGTTTTCCATATCCTGGGTCATGATAGCTAAACACAAACAGATCTTCTGCTGCCTGAGAAGGGTCTTCCGTCCTGAAATCTCTCCCTTTCTTGAGTTGCCTGGGACTCAGAGACTCAGAGAAAAAAAGCCTTAAGACAAATTGGACCTTTGTTGCAAAGGGCAATGAAGAACTGTGTCTTTGTTATCAGTACATAGGGACCTCTGCCATTCCACTTCAAAATCAGAAACTCTTCCCTAGCTCCAGTTACTTGTAGCTCTTGTACACTAGCAGAATGGAGTTAATTCCAGCAGGAGTGATTAAGGAGTTGGTTTAAAACAGAATCATGGGATCACTTAAAATAAGTGTAATATGTATTTTCCCCTGTGTCGCTGTTTTCCTTATGGAAAGCATCATTGTATGAAAATAATTGTCAGATAACACTGACCACTAACACCATTTCATAGTTCATGGTGTATGAACTGAACCTGATGATTCTGTAATCTCAGAGTGGCACCTTGTTCATCTTCTACTTCTATGTTGGTCCATTTAGATGACTGATACACCTCATTCCTCGAATTATGTGTATTTTACAAAATCATACATGAGAGCCCCTGCTTTTTCTCTGAGAAATTAGTACATCATACGTTTCATAGAATCATAGAATCATAGAATAGTTAGGGTTGGAAAGGACCTTAAGATCACCTAGTTCCAACCCCCCTGCTGTTGGCAGGGACACCTCACACTAAACCATCTCACCCAAGGCCTTGTCCAACCTGGCCTTGAACACCACCAGGGATGGAGCATTCACAGCTTCCTTGCGCAACCTATTCCAGTGCCTCACCACCCTCACAGTAAAAAATTTTTTCTTCATATCCAATCTAAACTTCCCTGTTTAAGTTTTAACCCGTTACCCCTTGTCCTATCACTACAGTCCCTAACGAATAGTCCATCCCCAGCATCCCTATAGCCCCCCTTCAGATACTGGAAGGCTGCTATGAGGTCTCCACGCAGCCTTCTCTTCTCCAGGCTGAACAGCCCCAACTTCCTCAGCCTGTCTTCATACGGGAGGTGCTCTAGTCCCCCCATCATCCTCGTGGCCCTTCTTTGGACTTGCTCCAACAGTTCCATGTCCTTTTTATATTGAGGACACCAGAACTGCACACAATACTCCAGGTGAGGTCTCACGAGAGCAGAGTAGAGGGGCAGGATCACCTCCTTCGACCTGCTGGTCACGCTCCTTTTGATGCAGCCCAGGATATGGTTGGCTTTCTGGGCTGCAAGCGCACACTGAAGCCGGCTCATGTTCATTTTCTCATCAACCAACACCCCCAACTCCTTCTCCACAGGGCTGCTCTGAATCTCTTCTCTGCCCAACCTGTAGCTGTGCCTGGGATTGCTCTGACCCAGGTGTAGGACCTTGCACTTGGCATGGTTAAACTTCATGAGGTTGGCATCAGCTCACCTCACGAGCATGTCGAGGTCCCTCTGGATGGCATTCCTTCCCTCCAGCGTATCAACCGAACCACACAGCTTGGTGTCATCAGCAAACTTGCTGAGGGTGCACTCAATCCCACTGTCCATGTCAGCGACAAAGATGTTGAACAAGACCAGTCCCAAGACTGACCCATGAGGGCCACCACTTGTTACTGGCCTCCAGCTGGAAAATATTGAGCCATTGACCACAACTCTTTGTGTGCAGCCATCCAGCCAGTTCCTTATCCACCGCGTGGTCCATCCATCAAATTGTTGTCGCTCCAATTTAGAGACAAGGATGTCGTGTGGGACAGTGTCAAATGCTTTGCACAAGTCCAGGTAGATGACATCAACTGCTCTACTCCTGCCCATCAGTTCTGTAGCCCCATCAGAGAAGGCCACCAAATTGGTCAGGCAGGTTTTCCCCTTAGTGAATCCATGCTGGCTGTCACCAAGCACCTTGTTGTTTTTCATGTGCCTTAGCATGCCTTCCAGAAGAATCTGCTCCAAGATTTTGCCAGGCACAGAGGTGAGACTGACTGGTCTGTAATTTCCCGGGTCATTCATTTTCCCCTTCTTGAAAATGGGGGTTATATTTCCCTTTTTCCAGTCGTTGGGAACTTCACCTGACTGCCATGATTTTTCATTGCAAGGTGTCCTGGGTTTAGCAGTAGCAGTCAATTTTTCTCCTTCTTGGTAGCTGGTGCAGCGCTGTTTTTGACTTTCAGCCTGGGAACAGTGCTGATAACACCGATGTTTTCAGTTGTTGCTAGGTGATGTTTACCCTGACCAAGGACTTTGTGAGCCTCATGCTCTGACAGGGAGGAGGGGAAGCCAGGAGGAAGCAGAGACAGGACACCTGACCCACACTAGCCAAAGAGGTATTCCATACCACAGCACGTCATGCCCGGGGAGGGGGGGTAACTGGGAGTTACCCGGAAGGACGTCTTCTGGGGTCTTCTGGGTCGGACTCGTTTTTTGGCGGGTGGTATTGTATTCTCTTCCCTTGTTATTTTTTCTTATCATTGTTGTCGGTGGTGGTAGCGGTGGTGATTTGTGTTGTACATTGGTTGCTGGACTGTTCTTGTCTCAACCAGTGGGAGTTGCATTCTTTCGATCCTCCTCCCCATCCCTCCTCGGGGAAACGCGGGCCTCGACTGCTTCCAGCCCAGCACCACTCACTGGGAGTGAGTGAATGAGCTGTCTGGCTGGTTTTAAACCACAACACAAGGACAACTAACATACCTTTTAAATGCCACTGTTCAGGTTTTGCTTCATGAAACCTATAGGATTATAGTCGGATGTATCAAAATCTCACTCAATTTTCAGAGACACTAACTGCAGAGAATGCAAGTAAGCGAGCAGCAAGGTACTCAGCTTGTGTGAAAGTCATGCCAAATAATGGAGGTGCTCAAAAACTTCTGTTAAGTTTATATTTCAAAAGCTAGGGTTTCTGAATATCTCCCACTGTACAAATAAGTGAAAGCAGGAAGAGCACTTTTCCAAGTGACTACTGTACAAAAGGAGTTCACAGTTTACCAAGTCTCTTTCTCAGGAAAAATGTCCTGGTCAGACAACATTAATTTAACTGCTAATGAAGGCAGCAGTCAGTGGATCAGCATGTGCTGAGGGAGGAGAAGAAATGGAGAAAATAAATGAAAAACACTTGAAGAAGGAACTTATTAAAAAGTGTACCTTTGTTAGAGTGCCTCCTTTTAATTATTCTTACATAAAGCAGTCAGGTTTGGACATATCTTTTGTACTCAACCTATATTAAGTTTTTCGTTTTCCTCACTGACTTAAAGCAATGTCCTTTATTCTTTGCACTTCAAATGAAATACTCACATCATTTGCTAATGCACGTTGTTGGTTGTCAAAGCGTGTAAGGGTCCTTCAGTTTTGGGCAACTCACACACAGAGCCTTAGGCTTCAATCCCTGAGATGTTATAAGGCAAACTATAATATACAAGCCATGAACAGACCCATATCTAGGGAAAAAATGTTTCACTTTCTAATGCTTATATAGCTCAGGGTAAATTCTACTAAAATCGTGTCTGACTCTGACAAAGCATGAAAGTAATTCTTATTCATTGGAAATTAGATGATAGCAGGAAAAAAAAAATCCTAAAATCCTTATTTTATATAAATATAAGAATTTCCTCTAAAGTGGTTTTCACTTTTGTCCTGGGGGAAAGAAGGGAATTATAGGAGGACCTTATTCCGTGTTTTGCTCTTTGTGTGCTCATGTTCCTTTTTATTTTTTTTTTCTGTGATGCAGGGAGGGGGGAAATTTCCATAACAACACCTTAACTATCTTTACCACCCAGCTCTCAAAGGATAAACTAGGTGTTCCTAATTTACCATTTCTGCTTCTACTTTTATATTACAAATCTAAGGGAAGAGATTTCATGAACAATGAATATCCTATACATCCTGATAACAATTCAGCGCTGAAATAATTTCTATCATATTATTTTTTGTGGTTTTTTTACCTGTTATTCAAAGGCAAAGTTTATCAGTGCTAATGTGCAAATTCAACTCCAGGTCCTCTTACTTGAGTTGAAAAAGGCAATTTCCCACTGTCTTTTTTTTTTTCATGACAAATTATCACTACAATTTTTCATAGAAATTATTGATCTCTTAATAGCCATGTTGTTGAATCTTCTTACTATTCCTTATTTTTCAGATCAGGTACTACATTTCGCCTCTTAGATGTCCCAAGTCCTCATGAAGACTTGCCTGGTTGTTCAACGAGAAAAGGAATTTCACAGAGAAACGGTTATTTCCAGATGTCTTGGCAGTATGGTGTTGCCGCATATTGCATCCATTGTGGATAAAAAGCATGCAATCCCTTATATAATAGCATATATAGTAAGACATATGTTTCTAAAATAAGAAAAAAGTCTAAGATAGTTTAAAAGTCCTCATAGCAGCATCTTCTGTCCAGTCAAGAAGTACATGGAGAAATATGTCTGTGAGCTCAGAGAATGCTCCTCAGTAGTTAGGCACATGGGAATCTGTGAAACACTGAATATTCCCTAAAACTGAGTGCTATGGCAGTTAGAGAGTGGTCTACACCATGCTGAGTTCATTTACATGCATAATCCCAGGGCTTTCCATCAGACTGTTTGTGTCAATAAGGCAAACAAGTTTTGGCCTGTCCTGAACATTGTTCATTACAGATTGCAACAGAGCAGATGTAATTATGTGAGTGAGAGAAAGGCAGCAGGACCAATTCCTAAAGGCAGGACATCATTAAGATTTCACAACAGGCACATTTTCCCAAGGGACCCAGAGGAAACAAGAGGCACATATTTCCTGAGGCCAGAGTCCTTGTTTGGCTTCATACATCCAAGTGCATTCTTAATTGCAGCATTCACTTGAAAGGCATAAAGTTCCTTGAGAGGTGAATAAGATTTGAAACAGATCCTAAAAAACTGTCCAGTCTCTCATCCTACACAACATGTAACATGCACTAGAAAAGAAAATTTCAGAATGGCCAGCTCAGAGATTTACCACATGCAATTTTTTCCTGGCTGATAGACAAATAGCAATGTGCATTGCAAGTGGAAGCAGTTGCTGTATGTTTTCACGATCAGGGAATTGTTAATGCGAAGAACCAGGTCTTTAGAACAACTCTGAAACAAGTCAAGAAGCATTAAGAATAAAAGCCATCAAAGCTTAACGTATCCAACAGGAATGGAAAGAGGTACTGACTGGGCTTGGATTTAGATTCATTAGAAAGTCCCAGGAACTAGAGCCAAATTCTGATTTGATAGGGAGCATCTCTATTGGATTTAAGTTGGAGAATGCCTGTGTGTGAATCTTGCTTAGGAGTGTTACATGGCAGTACTATTTCAGAATTGTTCCACTTCAAATTTTAATCAAATCAACTCCTTTGTGACTATATTACACTTCATAATAATGAAGCTTAATGAACAGAATTAAAAGTTGATCAACTGTAAGCACAGTTAAACACAGAAATGGTTTTCTTCTTTCCCATAAAATCTGTCTGCTGTCAAATACTTGCCACTTGCTGTCCTCCCTGTCTTTGGATTTTTAAACAGCTTTTATGGGCTATTCAATTTCTGCCTGCAATTCAAATCCACTTTCATTTTTGCCTCCTTGGCCCTTCATCCTCCTGCACTTCCACTCTCCTTTATCTAAAGGCAGAAAACCACATCAAATATAGAAAATCTGTGATACTTAACATTGCCTCAACCTTTTTGATGTGCTTTAACAGAACTCACAGTGTAATGACAAAGGGTGGTGTTGTCCTCTGTCTTTGCAGATGTTCACACACAGCCACGCTATTCACTACCTCATTAACTGATCTTTTAAGAGTATGGGACTGCCTTACAACTAATGAGATCTCGATTCAATTCTCCACAAATTTCCACCTCTAAGTACAAGAAAATGAAAAGAAGGTTTTCTGCATCAGAGGGATTAGGAAGATATATAGCTGAGGAAAGTGAAATATTGAAAAGAAAGGAAAAAGATTGATTTCACTGGTGGGGGAAATATTGAAAAAAATAATGTTGCAAGTTTCATTCAGCATTAAGTACAGATGATTTTGTCTGATTTTGTCTTCCTTGGCCATACCTAGATCATGTTCCTCTCATAATCTTATAAATGACAATTCAGACAAGGTTTCCAGAGAATTACATTGAGCAGACATGTCCATCAAAAATAGCTGATGTGAGACATCCCAATGTACTTACATGCCTATGAGCAGAAGAGTTAAGACAAATACTGGGCCTTCTTACACTCTTTGGAAATATTCATCTGGGATATATCCTACCTGTTGAATACTAACTAAATCTGACTGACTGAAAAATGATATTTTAAGATCCTAAGTCACTTGGCCAATCAGGAAAATAATTTCATACAAAAATCAGCAACTATATGTCTACTGTCTTTTTTTCCAGGAAGGAAACATGTTTTTTTCAAATACTTTTATTCTCCAGACAGCTAAAGGAGAAGAATTAGTTCTAAGTAAACTATTTGAATTTTCTTCTTACCAGATCTTCACACATATGCTAAGATTTAAAAAGACCCCAAAAGTTAAACAGAACATTGAAATATTTTAAGAGTATAAAGATATGCATGAAAAATACAGATTCCTGAAAGATTAAATGTCTCATGTATGTATTTATCAAAGCTTCAGAAAATAGAGAAAATAGGCGGATGGTATAAAGTCTTAGCAAAAATATAAATGTAGTGTGTCAAGTGAAAAATAATAATGATTAGCTGTCCTGGTTTCAGCCATAAGAATTATATTTTTCTCCTTCCTAGCAGCTGGTGTAGAGCTGTTTTGGCTTTAGTCTGAGAACACTGCTAATAACACACTGATGGTTTTAGTTGCTAAGTAGCGCTTACTCTGATCAAGGACTTTTCAGTCTCTCATGCTCTGACAGTGAGGAGGGACATGGGAAGCCAGAAGGAAGCAAAGACAGGACACCTGACCCAAACTAGCCAAAGGGGTATTCCATACCACAGCATGCCACGCCCAGTATATAAACTGGGGGGAGTCACCCAGAAGGGCAGATCGCTGCTCTGGTCGGGCTGGGTATCTGTCTGTAGGTGGTGAACAATTGTATTGTGCATCACTTGTGTTTATTGGGTTTTTTTTCTTTCCCCTCTTAGCTTCTTATTCTCTCCAATTGTTACTTCCCTTGTCATTATTATCATTAGTAGTAGTAGTAGTTTTGTATTATACTTTAGTTATTGGGATATCCCCATCTCAACCCAGGGGGTTTTACATTTTTTGATTCTCGTCCCCATCCCACTCAAAAGCTGGGGGTTGAGGGGGAGGAGAGGGTCAATGAGTGGCTGCATGGTTCTGAGTTACTGGGGGGGCTTAAACCATAACATTAGTTTAACAGCATCTTGGGTATGCATCTTTTATAATACATGATGTATTGGGAGTGTGTTTTACTCAGGTTACAGAATTAAACCAGTAGGAGGTCTGATCTGAACTAATATACAGGTTCACTGGGAAATATTGGTAGATTTAAGTATGATTCCTTCTAATATGCTGTTTTATACATCTACAGTTTAGTTGATGGGCAAAACGAACTGCATAGCCTGAAATTATACAGTATTCTCGAAATACATTTAAAAGAAGTTTTAAAAAAAGCATAACACAACAATTGCTCTCATAAATCCAAATGCCAGCTCATTTGGCTCATGAAATTGCTGTGATTTTCCTTACTGTGCACTCTATCTTTAAAAGTCTAGGAGGTGGCTGCCATTTCTCAAGGATATGTGCTGTGCTGTCTACCACAAATTTGACTTTGTTGGGTTTTTGTTGCTTATATCTCCAACACACGTTATGCACCTTCCAGCAAGGACAAGCAGATCACACTATTGGCAAAGCTAAGGCTATTCAAGATGCACCATGCAGCTACGATGTCAGGGCATCCATATGGATTTCTGGGTGAGCTGAATCCCTCTGGGACTAAATAAACCTACAGAGACTATGGAGACCAATACACTGCTCATTGACCCTCAGCCACCATGGAGTTCAGAGTAGACCCCAATCAAGTCATTTTTCTGAAACCTCTGTCCAGATCTCCCTTTTACCTTTCCTATCTGATCTCTCTAATACACATATTGCACCCATGAGCCTTCAGAGGATTTAAGTATGCAGCTCTGAATGGTGGTTACCTCTGAAGATTGCTTACTCTGCTAGGACAGCGCTGAAATCCTTTCTTTCCACCCCAGGGTTCACATTCCTTTCACAGTTCAAATACAGGGCATTAGTGCACACCCACTTGGTGCTGAATAACAAAAGGGCTAAAAAATCAGACTCCCGAAGTGAGATGGCTACAGAAGTGGCCATTACCCGGTAAAACACTTTCAGTCTTCTAACTATTGGGAACAAAAGAACACAAGGATGCAATGAACTCTCGTTGTCCCCAGAGTGCCAGGTGACTAAACCAAGTTACAGTCAATCTGCAGCTATAGAGAAATATTGCAAAATTGCTCCAGCAAAATGTCCTGCTGAACATTAGACAGCCTGGTTGAGTGTTTCCTCGTAGCTCCTTACATTGTGAGTGACATTGTCATTTAGGGAAAAAAAATGAAACCATGTTAAATGCACAGGTAAAATGACAAGCATCTTACTGTTCTCTAAAAACCCTCCCTGATTGCATGTCACCCACTTTAAATTTTGATTGAAAGACAGCATTGAGACTCTCAGCTGGGAATGCAAAAGGATAAATGGACTTATCATCAGCTAAATTTTGCACAAGCTACCAGGCTAGATAATATTCATTTCAGAGAAAACTACTAGGGAACATATTGTGGTTTAAGCCCAGCCGGAAACTCAGAACCATGCAGCCACTTGCTCATTCCTCCCTTTATTTCTCCCCCAGCTCACAGAGGGATGGGGAGGAGAATCGAAAGAATGTAACTCCCACAGGTTGAGATAAGAACAGTCCAGTAATTAAGGTATAACACAAATCACTGCTGCTACCACCAATAATAATAATGATAAGGGAAATAACAAGGGAAGAGAATACAACCGCTCACCACCCACCGACCGATACCCAGCCCAACCCTAGCAGTGATCTAGCCCTTCAGGGTAACTGCCCCCAGTTTATATACTGGGCATGAAAAGAGGATGGCCTGAGAGTGAGCCTCGTTCTGTTGGTTCTCCTGCTCACTTGCCTTTACCTGAAGCAGGAATAGCTTACAGAATGGGGCTCACTGTAAGGCCATCTCCTTTTGCATGACATGCTGTGGCATGGAATACTGCTTTGACTAGTTTGGGTCAGGTGTTCTATCTCTTCCTCCTGTCTTCCCTTCCTCCCTGGCAGAGTAAACATTACTTAGCAACAACTAAAAACATCAATGTTATCAGCGTTGTTCCCAGGCTTAAAGTCAGAAACACAGCATTGCAG